CGCTGCCAAAATAAAAAACACGCACAAGGGTTAGGGTTAAATTTAAAAACTGTACTTTTGAGTTAAAATATATATTTATAATTTTAATAAATGACAAATTAAAAATGCTTGAACATTTTTTGTATCGAAAAAATATCGAACCGTGACACCAAAGTATCGAACCGAACTGAACCGTGAATTTTGTGTATCGTTGCACCCCTAGTTTTTAAGTATTTTTATAAAATTTCTCCCTAACTCTGTGAGCTTTAAGTCCCATTACCTCTAACCCTGAACCCAGCGCTATCAGCGTATCAGATTTGTAGCTTTTAAAAAATCAAACTAAATCAAAAAGTGTTTGCATATTTTAAAAAAAAAATCATTTACTTTTCCTCCAGAACCTACAGCTACGGTTAAATAGATTTTCACAAACAGATGTGTCAGTCTGCAGGAGAGGTTTTTAAAACCTTTTTTTTTTTTTATTTAAACAAACTGCTTGTGTGGACTCCCTTCTTTAACCAGTTTGGGGGTTTGTCCGGGACAAAAGGAGCTGAATTGGGGAGGCACAGTGTTGTGAAAAAACTTGGCATGGTTTCTAAAACAAGTGTCCATAGATGTCAAGAGAACCTGTTACAATAGCTAAACAAAGGTAAACAAAAAGAAAACGATCAAATTTTTCTTATTATTTTTCTGATTTCTTATTTTTCTTATAACTCTCAGAATAAAGCCACATCCTGGTTTAAGCGGACATACAGCAAATATAGACTTAAAATGTTAAAGTTGGTCACCAGATTGACTTTGCTGGGTGTTACCAAAGTGGCCCGTCCAACCAAAGTCTGCATGCGGGAAAAACTTTCAAAAACTCTTCTTCAGTCATGTTCACGCAGTCACGTCTAACCTTGTGTTACAGTGCACAGCCACCATCATCATACTCTGCATTGGAGAGACACACAATCTGATCAACTACGTCTCCTTCATCAACTACCTGTCATACGGTGTTACCATCGCAGGCCTGCTGTACTACCGCTGGAAGAAACCCAACTTGTACCGACCCATCAAGGTGAACCCAGCAGGCTTCTACCATCTGTTACCTGTTAACTGTTCATATCTGCAACTCGTCAGGTTTCACTGACTTCCCATCATGTACTTGCTGTCTTCTACAGGTGAACCTGCTGGTTCCTGTGTGCTACTTGATGTTCTGGGCAGTGCTGCTGGGATTCAGTCTTTACTCTGAGCCAGTGGTTTGCGGTGTTGGACTAGTCATCATGCTTACGGGTGTACCTGTCTACTTCCTGGGTGTGCATTGGAAAGAGAAACCAAAGTGTATCTATAACTTCATTGGTGAGTTTCTAAAGAAATTACTTTGTAGGGTTTAATTTGACTTGTTTTAATACAACTTGTGATTTTATCTTTCTGCAGAGAGGGCGACACATGTGGGCCAGAGGTTGTGTTTTGTGGTCTTTCCTCAGCTCGACCCCATCGAGCTCGCCAGTCCTCCAGAGTGGACTGACCGCTCATCAGGCAGGGGAAGCGTGTCTGTCAATTCTTAAAACTCTTATCTGGAAACAAAAAGATCTTCTGGGGGTTTTTTTTATCCTGTTTTTACTGATCATCAAACAAGTCCAGACCCTGTTCCAGTCATGGGAGCTCTGTCTGATTTTTGAACCTTTGAGACTCTGATTTTTGTTTTTCTAAACTTGAGTGGAATGCCCGCTGTTCTGTGTGGGCTGCGTACAATTTTTTCTCTCCATCTACTTTTCTACTAAGTCTTCAAGTACACCATCCTAATGCCAACAGTTTCACGCCGTGAACGGACTTTTTATTTCCACTTTGGGACCATCTGTTCCTCCTTTGGTAACACGACAGAACAGTGACTCTCTCTGAATGTTGCTGGTATTTTATTGTGCCTTCAGGTCTTTTCACACCAAGTTTTTCCTACAGTTGGAAAACTGCAAAAAAACTTGCACATTGTTTGTTAAAGTCACTAAAAACAGCCAACTCCTTTCTCATTTTCAGATCCATCCATGCCACCAGTGTGTCACGGGGCTCTTTTAAGATACACCAATAAAGAAGTGATCCTGGAACAGCAGGCTAGATGCTTTAGATTTGACTAGATTTAGAACCTAGGCTGAAGTCAAAGATAGCTGTTGTGATAAATTTTGTTTTTTTGTCTGTCTTCTTGGATATTTGCCCCATTCATTTTCATTTGCCTGAGCGAAATTTTTCTTCAGACCAATCTACTATCTGCTGATTAGTTCCCATGCATTAAAAATGAAGATTTTACATGTTTAAATGGGGAAAATGATCCACATTTGGAGGCAGGAGGCGTTGGCAGTGGCATTAATCATTTCGCTGCTCACAGTTTGAGTCCTAGGAGAGATTTTTTTTCCTTGCTGCTCTAGTAAAGTGGACTGATTCTGCTTTTCCTTATTTGTAGTCATACATCTGCTGTGCTGGAAGTTCATATGAAATATGGGAAATTTGGGAATGGCACACACATGGCTCTGTATGATGTCAGCAAGCACAGATATTCCTAATGTGGCCATCTTAGACCTAAACTCCACCCACTTTCTGTTCAAACCTTATATTTGGGGCAGCCAATCAGAAAAAAGTTGCTGTCTTGTTTCAGACAGTGAACGAAATGTGGGGCTTCACCAAGGCCGAGCATAAAAAAAAGGATGATTTTACTCTAGAAGAGTCCTTGAATGTAAATATGGAGCTGCAACATTAATAATAACACCTTGTCGTTGTCCCAAGGAGTCACCACAGCAGATGGAGCTGCATATTTCCATTTGGTGAAACTGCAGCCCCCCCCCCATTTAATCCAGGTTTGGGATTGGTATAATCTTAACCCTGTAGGTTTGTAGCTCCTCCTCCTGGTCTTGAACCAGGGAGCTTGTGTGTGTAAGACAAACGTTAAACCACCACATCAGCCCCCAAACTGTTACGTGTTAATCAGAATGAGTTACAGATTTTACTTTTTAAATAAATAGAAGAGTAACGTTAGGAAAGGATGACATTACAGACTGTGTGCAAGACGTCAGAGCAGGTGTTTGGTGAAAATTTCAGACTTGGTGTGAAAAGCTCTTTATTTGTGTATAAAATGTGGTGTATTAACTGATTCACTGTTAGAGATTTTAATATATTTGTGAGTGCCTTTTTGCTTTCTTTGTTGCATAGATTGTCTGAGAATTACTTTGGTGTCCTGTAGACTGTTTCTGTGTCACTATAAAAAGAAACCTGCTGTAAATAAACCAGACGGAGCACAAAGCACTGGCACATCCAAAAGACCGAGGGCAAACTCAAGCTCAAAAAATGTTGCTAACAAACTAGTTGTGCTGACGTTACCTGCTGCTCTCATGGATGGATCACATGATGCTGTGACCGTGAGTGCATTCAGACATAGGATTTGTGTAATCCACAGCAGTCTAACACGCTGTGGCACTTTATGTTGTGCATGTAAAGTGTTGCTAATGCAGGATGTTACTGAGACAGAATTGGCCCTTCTTGCAGTCACATCTGCTGGTCAGGTTGGAGCTGTACTGTTAGCAAAGCTTCTCACCTTTGCTAACAGTACAAAACCATCTTTCTTCAATTTCCTGCTCTGTGCAGTTTCTGATTATGCAACGTGTTATTCTGAGAAACTGTGAACAAGACCCTCTTTCAGTTCTAAGGTTTTCTGGATTAGGACATAAAAAATCATCTGGTCTTTAGCAGGTTCTAAACATATTACACTGTGTCAGCAGCACGAGGCAGCATGCAGAAACGGGCCTCATGCATTCAGCAGCTTCGAGAAGCTCCTTTAGCAGTAATAAGTTGCAGTGATGATTTCCTGTGTGACTTATCAGTCTCTCACATCACTGTGGAGGAGTTTTGGTTTCTTTGCCTCATTGAGGTCTGCAGCATTAAGCTCTTTGAGGACTGGACTTTGAAACGTTGCAGCAGCTCGATGCTTTTCTTCTTCAGCCGTTCTGCTGCTGTGCTTGGATCATCGTCCTGCTGATGACCCAGTTTGGTCCAAGCTTCAGCTGTGGGACACCCGGCCTCACACTGACTCTAGAATACTTTGGTATACAGAGGAGTTTGTGGTCTAATCAGATCATCATCCCTCCACCACCATGCTGACAGCTGCTATGGGGTGTTCAGTTTTGTAAATTATGGAGAGATATCTCCACCTGTCCAAAGGACATTTGTTCGATTTCAGCTTCATAAACCTGAGCCACGCTGTGATGCTGTCCCTGACTCTACTGAAGCCTGTAGAGTCAGAGATGGAGATCTTGATGGGGGGGTTTTCACCTCCAAACCAGCAAACTGCCACAACTTCAGCTTTTATAGAGGTGCTTACACCGGCTGAGGATCATCTGCTCAGGTGCATCTGATTAACTCACCTTTTAATTCCTATGGGAGCAGTGAGGATGGACTTTTTCACACACTGCTTCTGTGTTTTGGCCTCATTTGTTCAGTAAATACTGACACAGTGTGATGTGTAATAATGTTCATCTGAAGCTGACCTCATTTTAAAACCTTCTAAGGACCAGCTGAGTTTTTATGATGTCTACCCTAAAATTAAAAGAGAGTGTACTTTCTTTTTATGACTGTGTGTTTTTCTGTGTTTGCTCTCAAGCAGCTGTGCTGTTGGACAATAACAGTACGAGGAAGCCTTAACATTTCTATGTGCGCCCTTTTATTCATGTGTTTTTTGTTACACCATATAGTATAATCCACTACACTGTGCACTTAATGAGTCATAGTTATCCTAAATGATTTTTAATCCCTCAGGTTATGGCAATTTGCAGTGTAAAGCAGCAGGGATGAGAATTCACACCTCCAAGTCAGAGGCCATGGTTGTTATCCAGACGCAGGGCTGGGCTCTGTGCTGATGAGAAGCTGCAGTATCTTGTGTGCTGTTCTTGAGTAAGAGGAGAGCAAGAGACTGACGCAGCCTCTGCAGTGATGCAGACGCCGTATCGCTCCGTTATGATGAAGAGCCACAACAGATCAATGCAAGTCACAGAGGGACTAGAAATTACAAAATTAATATCATTTTTTATTGAATGAGACTTGAAACTAAGGATTAAATCAGGAAGTCATCAGGAGCATGTTTGTTGCAATCACAGAGAGAGGATGCTGAGGGCGGTTTTACCATAGACCCAACTTCAGGCTATATAATAATAATAATAATAATAATAATAATGCATTTTATTTAAAAATAGCGCCTTTCAGAGCACCCAAGGACACTGTACAATAAATACACAATATACACAATAATAAGAGTAACAGATAAAAGTTAAAAGCATGCAGAGGTTTAAACATAAGCAATTTTAAACAGGTGAGTTTTGAGGGTGGACTTAAAAAGAGGGAATGAAGTATATCAGTAGAGGGGCCTAATTCTGTTCAGACAATAAAAAAAAATCTAAAATCCAGCTGTGTTCACTTTGCAAATTATAGCTGGTGTCGTATTGATACACACATTTTCATGTTGTAAATTTCTTGTAAAGCATTCGGTGTTTACAGTGGGATCATTACACTGGATGTTAACTTGGATGTGTGTTACTGCACTTTGAGAAAATAACTATAAATAAATGCAGAATGAGGCAGACCTGCACTGGTGGTGTCTGTCTCTCTGAGCTGTGCCGGCTGTGGATGCGTCACAGCTGCTGGGGGTGGAGCCAAGAAATTATGCGGCAGGTGATTAAAAGCGATTCTGGGTGGGGAAAAATCTGATTTTATAAGATTAAAACGCAAGAGAAAATTCCAGAATAGAGAGCAGAGAGGCAAATCAACAACAGCAACAAAAAAGTTAAATATATTGATTAAATTTGTAATTTTTGTAAAATTTTTTGATATTATATATTTCTGTTTCCTTAACCTCTGAGGTTTTTTTTTGTTTTTGCTGAATTTTATTTTTATTATTATTTTTATTTAAAATGAAAACTATAAATATAGATCCCGCTCTACTGAAGGTGTCGCGAAGATGAACGACGTGATGACGTAGATACCTAAACAGGAAGTTTAAACTGCAGCACGCTTTATTCTTCCCCACATGAGCACGAGAGCCGCTGTCGTCAGCACCTGAGAACAAATGCCGGTAAAGATTTGATTTAAACGTAGAGATAAAAACTTCTGCATGATCGCAGCTGTCGCTTCCGTACTAACGCCTGTTTTCAGCTCGTGACGGAAACACAGTTAAGCAATTAGCTAGAATGCTAACGTAGCATGGCTAGCCGCTCTGCCAAACTCTGTGCACAAGAATTGCAGTTAAAACGTTTATCGCTTGTTCGCTGTCGGAAAGCTACCAGAGAGCATGAAACTAACTTTTCTACAATAAGCATCTCAATAAGGTTAATTCGGCGCAGATAGTTAGCAGATAATTGAAAATATTCAAGTGAAATTCTAACTTTAGGTCTGATAATCTGACCAGGTTGTCGACCTGTAGGAGAAGCTAATTGATCCAAAGCAACACTAAAAGGTAGGAATGTTGTTATTTGTTTCAATGGTGTCAATTAATGCATTAAACATACTTCTTTCAGTTATATCCAGTTGTGTTAGAACCGAAACCGCCTTACATCAGCTGATTTTTTAAAGGGAGTTTTGTGTTGTTGTGAAAATGCGGCTAAACATGCCAGCACCTCTGGATAGTTGAAGCCCAGCTGTTTAAGAGGAGGGTCTCTGACCGTTGGGTCCTGTGTGGTCTTGGCAGGACGACCGAGCCGCCACGATGGCAGCAGGCCGGCTGAGCTTCAATAACATCACCGCCTTGGCTCCCATGGTGCGAGTGGGGACTCTGCCCATGAGGCTGCTCGCTCTGGACTACGGAGCTGATGTGGTTTACTGTGAGGTGAGGACAGAGGCTGTATCCTTGGTGACCATATTTGGATTATCCCCTCTCTGTGACATCATACAGAGCAAAGAGTGGTGAAAAAATAAATAAAATTATATTTATACAGCACCTTTCTAGACAGTCACAAAGTGCTGCACATAAGATGACAAATAATAAAAGGGTAAAACAGACAATATAAAACAGGCAGAAATTAACCAAAAACTGTTTTAAAAAGAGTTTTGAGTTGTTTTTAAAAAAAACAACAACTCTCGAGTCCACAGTTCTTAATGTCTGAGGGAGAGAGTCCACAGTCTCGGGGCCACAGTGGCAAAAGCTTCACCCTTAGTTCTCATCTTAGTCTGTTTTATAGCAAGTAAGCCCTGATCAGATGACCTCAGGGACCTGCTGGGGACATCGGGCTGTGGCAGATCAGAGATGTAGGCTGGTGCCAGTCCAGGCAAGGCTCTAAATGTCAAGACCAGGGTCTTAAAATGAACTCTAAATTCAACAGGAAGCCAGTGTAGCTGAAATAGCAACGGTGTCACATGTGAATACTTTGTTAAAAGCCTGGCTGCAGCATTTTGCACAGCCTGCAGACGATCCAGGGAACCTTTGCTTAGACACATAAACAAAGAGTTACAATAGTCCAAGCGTGAGGAAATAAATGCACGTATAGCAATCTCCAGTTCAGAGCGAGATAAAATAGGGCTTAACTTAGCCACATTTCTTAAATGAAAAACTGCTAAGATGGAGTGTTTACAGCAACCTGACGGAACATGGGTCACGTGTTGACCACAAGAAGAGGGAAATGTTTGATAAGAAATAAGTAAAATCCGAATAGTCCCCCTTGACCCTTTGGTGTCTGTTGCAGGAGCTGATTGACATCAAAATGGCCCAGTGTCAGAGAGTGGTAAACGGTAAGAATCTGTGCCCTTCGCTGCCCTTCATACCGGCTGTTCATTCAGACCTTTCTCATAACTGTGTGTGCATCAGACGTGCTGGAGACGGTGGATTTCGTGGCTCCGGATGACCGAGTGATGTTCAGGACCTGTGAGAGGGAGAAGGGCAACGTCGTCTTCCAGATGGTGAGACTGGAAGCTTATGAGCGAGCAGAATGGCATCGACGTGGAGAAACAAAATTACTTTATTGGCTTTGTGCTTATTGTTTGCTATGGAAACGATAAGTCTGACTGGTCCTCTGCAGAGACGGGTCACAGGGTCAATCTCACATACTGTTTGACCCAAACAGTATTGAAGGATTAATCTTCCATTTATTATGTCAGACGTCTGTAGTTCAAAATTCAGGATTGGCACTTATTGTTGGGGAGGTTCAACGTGCTGTGAAGACATGAAATATGAACAGTGTGTAAGGGGACACCTCGAACAGTCTTCCTTTTGTCTTTCAGGGAACCGCTGACCCGGACAGAGCGTTGGCTGTGGCCCGACTCGTGTGAGTTCAAAGTTGACTCTTTGTGTTGCGAGTGAAGTGCTCGTGCCGTCAAGCTCTGCACCGCCTTCCTCGTCACAGTAACTTTAAACTTTGTGATAACAAGCTGCTTCCTCACAGGGAGAAGGATGTGGCTGCTGTCGATGTGAACATGGGCTGTCCAAAGGAGTATTCCACCAAGGTGAGTCCAGTCACCCCCCACTGACGCTGTGACCCTCTGTCCCTGTGGCTGACCTCTGACCTCTGCTGTCCTGCAGGGCGGGATGGGAGCTGCTCTCCTGTCGGATCCTGATAAGATCGAAGCGGTGAGCTGTGAGCTAAGAGATCACGTCAGGATAAAAGGAATGTTTTTAATTCTGACTTTGGTCTTCACCTCAGATCCTGAGGACGCTCGTGACAGGAGTTTCCATCCCGGTGACGTGTAAAATCCGAATCCTGCCCTCAGTAAGACGTGAACGTTTCACTTCCTCACCTTCACTCTGTTATCTTATTCATAGCTGTATGTTTCAGTGTTAATGTGAGCTCACCCCTGTGCACTGTGGAGGGCGTTTCCCTTTACCTCGTATTTTAAGGTCTCGTGAGACCCCATCCTTAAAAAATGTGCCTTGCACCCTCTGCATGCACACAGCCCCACCTCTGCCCTGTTTGTTGCAGCATGCGGTAATATGCAGCAACAAATCTGCAAGTGCGTGTTTTACTTGCTGCCTTGCACCGTGCAGTCAAAGTGCTCGCTCAGAGACGCCCAGCTTTCTGTTTCGCCTCAGCTCTGCGTGTTTGGACGTCTGATCGTGGTTGGCTGCACGCTACACGCAGTTTTTAAATGATGGTTTCATTCATTAAGAGAACAAAGTTATCCAAACCTAACTGCCCGTGTGCAAAAGTAACTGCCCCCTAAACCCGATAACTGTTCCAGCCTCGACACTGAGAAGTCAGGTGTTTGTGGTCCCTTCAGTGGGCCACAGAAGAATACATGGGGAGGGGGGGGGGGTAAATACTTACTGCAGATGTTTAATCTTCGCTGTTCTTTGGTTCCAGCTGGTGGAAACAGTCAGTCTGGTCCGAAGGATCGAGAGAACGGGCGTCGCTGCGGTCGCCGTTCACGGCAGGTAAACTGCGTCAGGAGTGTGAAAACTTCAGTTACGGAGAAGCAGAGTACAGTTTCATGCAGTCATTCAACTCGTATACATAATTAATTATAATGAGGCCAGTTCATCCTCTGATTGTCTTTGCTTTGCATCTAAAATATGAGAAAGTTAGAAAAACATCTCATAGTATTTTTAAAAATAACTTTTACTGCACAAAACCAAACAACCGAACAATCTGTTTACGGTGCCAAACAGAAGGAGCCAATAAGAAGCCTGGAAAAGTCTCGAACTGCTTCCTGTTGGATTTCTTTTGGCTGTCGCTGACGGACGTCTGTCTCGTTGTTGTTCAGGTTTAAGGACGAGCGTCCCAGACATCCTGTCCACTGTGATTACATTCAGGCCGTCGCTCAGGCCGTCTCCATCCCCGTCATCGCAAAGTGAGTAACAGTCAGCTCCCGCTCATGTGTTTGAACGCCATTCTCGGCTTGAGATCGAGAGTTTGGCCCTGTTAGGAGAGAACGGCAGCTCCTCTGAGGACAGAGCCGTGTGGTTTCTGTGCTCAGTAAAGAGAATCTTAAATACCAGCGTTCCTAAACGCAACACTAAGACCTGGAGTCATTAAACCGTCCGCTGTCCTGTGTCTCCTTCAGCGGAGGCTCTCTGGATCACGTGAAGACCAACGCCGACATAGAGGAGTTCAGAAAGGCGACGGGCGCCTCGTCGGTGATGCTGGCCCGCGCCGCCATGTGGAACGCGTCACTGTTCCGCAGCCAGGGAGCGCTTCCTTTGGAGAAGGTCATGGAGGACTACCTCAAATACGTGAGTTTGAAGTGCAGCTCATGAAGACGCAGAATAAAATTCTCTCTTTGGGGAAGCTTTGAGCATGTTTGGCATTTTGTTGATTACCACAGATGTTGTTTGATGCTTCACAGGCGATTCAATACGACAACAATGCCTTCAACACAAAGTACTGTCTGTGTCAGATGCTCAGAGACAAGGTGGAGTCTCCTCTGGGGAAGCAGGTGCAGGCGGCGCAGACCAACGCTGAGATCAGGTGCAGCACTGTTTGTTTGTTTGTTTGCAGCAGTGTCAGATGTGTATGTACGTAGGGTGGGTGTGGTGTGATGTGGTGCTGACGTGTTGCAGCGAGGCGTACGGGCTGCAGGAGTTTTACCGGCAGACTCGGGAACAGCTGCAGGCTCGGAGGGACGCCCTGCAGAGCGGCAGCCAGCCGGAGCGACCCGTCACGGACGGAGACGTCACCACCATGGCCGTCAAGTTCGAACGGTGAGTGAAAAACACGTTTTCAGCTCCTCGTTTGCAGCTGGAGATGATTCTCATGGTTGACGCAGCAGCTCGTAGAGCCGGCGCTGAAAGGCCAGTGCACCACGCTTTTAGAGGCGTTGTGGTTTTCCAGAGACCTCAGCACAATATTTATGCAGTGTTATTTGATGAATTCATGCCACGACTCTTAACTGGAAATGAGCTTGTGGCTGATTTTTCACGGTCTGGGGGTTCTTCTAACTTCTGTTCCCCAGTTTAACCTTAAGGAACCAGACCGCTTTATTTTTATCTAAAAATCAGGATTTGGCCGTCAGCCTGAAGACCAGCGGGCGGTGTGGACACGCAGCTTGTTCACGTCCACCTGCTGGTTATGTTTGGGCACCGAGAACTACTCCGTAGGTTCAGGGAACGTGTCAGTGTTACATGCACCACACGACGCCTCGAGAGAAAACGAGCAGCTGTATGACAGCGGGCTGGACACCGCTGCCCGTCTGCCTGCGTGGACTAAAGTGAAACTTGGTGGATTTGATGTGTTTGCAGGAGAGAGTATCCTCCTCAAATCACTCCGAAGATGTTCCTGCTCGAGTGGAGCCGTAAGGAGAAAGTGGAGCAGCCGCAGTACGAGACGGTGAGCAAACGCAAAGCTTCAGGTCCACAGAAATGTTCGCCTTCGTTCCTGAATGTGACGGCGTGAACGATTTGTGCGGTTCTAAGAAGTGTGTGTGTTTCAGGTGCAGCGCGCTCAGGACCGAGCCTTTCAGTCCACAGTGACCGTCGCGCAGAAGAAGTACAGATCTTCACTGTGGTGAGTACAAACTTCAGTGCTTCTGCTCTGTAGCTGTGTTCAGTCACAGCGAGCGGCTAATGTGCTAAAACACCAGCGAGGCTCATCTCTTTCCCTCCACACAACCGGCAAAGTTTCTTGTTGGGTTCTTCTGAGCAGCTCTGAAAGTCTCCTGGGTTCACCGGTTGTTGAGCGGTGGTTCAGGCTTCTGTTTTTGGACGGGTGGACTGTGCCGAGCTTTGGCTCAATCCTGGAGAACTCAGCTGTTGTCCTGCTTCATGTCCAGCTGACAAATCTCAAATCTGATTTTTAGTCTGCATGCAAGCCGTTTTGCAACCCGCCTCCACCTTTTTCATTGATGCTCTTTTCTGTTGCTACATGCACTGAATGGCTGTTTGGATAGTTGCGTCATTTAGCAGCTGAACAGCCAACAGGGAATCTATACTCCTGAAGTAAGTTGTGAAGAGTTGGGAACGCTGAGGCGGAGCTGAAAGATGACAGGAATGGCGTCTCTGAGCCCTCTTTAAGCACCTCAGTGACAAAATCAAGTCAACTTT